CTATCCGCATTTGTTTGCTGATGTGTGATTCCGGGGACGGAATCATCCTAAGGGGGAGAGAATTGTAACTTCCGTGTTTCTAAGATAGGCATTAATGATGATGTAATAGTCTAGGTCAACCTTTGTAACTCATTTTGAAGAAATGAAGAGGAATTATGTGATTATTATGTGAATTATGTGTTTTATGCTTAATTATTAGGATTTAATTAATTAAGAATAAAAATAAGTGTCGAAAATAAATATTAGATAAACCCAATATCTATGAAGGAAGTTGTAGTGGTCATGACAAGGATTCCAGATATATAAAGAATACCGAAATTCGAGTTATAACGAAGAAGTTATGACCTGTCGAAGTTCCGCGACAAAACCGGCACGACGCCGAATAACGTAAAAAGTGAGTTTTTGATAAACTACTTTTTATCCTTGGGTAAAACATGGGTAGACGAAAATAGTTGATGTGTGTTAAAATGATGAGAGGCCTCGATGTTGTTGTTGTGTTGTTGTTGTAGTCATCTAGCGGAGTATAGATGACGACCACGGACCTTTCTAGACAGTCCAGTGGAACGCTAGCAGGTTCGCAACCTGTAGGTGTTGGTGAACTATATGTTCATTGGTGTACTCCATCCCCCTCATGGTTGCCTTAAGGACATGTATGGCTGAGGAGTCCCCTTAGCAGTAGTGTCCATGCTGATGATAATCCTTAGGCTAGGTCCCTTGTGATAGGTGTTTAGGGACGTAAAGTGAGGATAACAGGAATGGGTAATCAGGGTTATTGTTGGTTGATGAATTTAATAAATTTATTATTATTTGTGGGTTGAAAACCCTATATGCTCACCAGGCTCCCAAGCCTGACCCACTCAGCTTTTTATATTACAGGTAGTGGACCCCGAGCATAGTCGGATGATGATGAGAGATTTTTGGATTATAGGCCAGTAGTTGTAAATAACTGTTGTAAGGCTTATAATGTACTGTTTATGCTTTTGATCTGTATCGAAACATGACATCCTGAGGTTTTGATATAAAATGAAAATATATATTTCTTTAATGTAACGCCCGTGTTTCTAGGCTAGGCATTAATATTGACGTGATAGTCTAGGTTAACCTTTGTAACTCATTTTGAAGAAATGAAAATGAATTATGCGAATATTATGTGAATTATGTGTTTTATGCTGAATTACTAGGATTTAATTAATTAAGAATAAAAATGAGCGTCGAAAATAAATATTAGATAAAGCCGATATCTTTTAAGAAAGTTGTAGTGGCCGTGACAAGGATTACGGACATATAAAGAATACCGAAATCCGAGTTATAACGAAGAAGTTATGAGCTGTCGATGTTTCGCGACAAAACCGGCACGGTGCCGAATGTCGTAAAAAGTTAGTTTTTGATAAACTACTTTTTAGCCTTAGTGATCTAAACGAAAGTCGTAGTGTTCGTCAAACCGAGAGTATGTATAAAAATAACGCCCAAATCTGACTTCGTATGAGGAAGTTATGATTTTTCTAAGTTTCAGCTTAGCAGTAGACAGCTAAAAACTCGAATTTTAGATCGAGTGATTTTTAGCCGACACAACCTAAACGAGAATCGAAGGTCTCGTCAATAGTAGTACAACGGTAAAAAGACAGACGAAAACGGACGTCGGATGAAGAAGTTATGAATTTTTAACGGATTTCCTGTCCCGGTCTGTTAAAAATAATAATAATAAAATTAAAGTCAAAATTAGCCGACGAAGTCTAAACGAAAGTTGTAGAGCGTAATTTTACCGACGCGTGCATATAAAGAACGTCAAAAACGGAGCTCGTAAAGTTATGGATTTTAGAAGTTCTTGCACAAAAATCGAGAAAATTCGCATAGTCATGCTTCGGCCACGTCACCTTCGCTCCATGCGTGCCACGTGTCCGAAATTGTTGAGTCATCCGAAGCCGTGGCGCATCCGAGGAGTGACGCGTATGCAGCCTCGTCCGAGCCTCACACCACCTGCTGCGTGTCCGACCTTCGCACCACCTGTCTCCCTTTCCTCTTGCTTCGGATCCGAACCTCGGACCTAGACTTCGGTCCAATCAGAGGTCAGCAGCTGGACCCTCGCACGTGCGACCCATGTGCCTCCTCTTCGGATCTGCTGCCACCTGGTAGCTTCTCAGCCGTCCGATCAGAAGCCTCACCCCTATAAATAGAAGGGTGCGAGACCTCCCGGGGATAATTTGCAAATTTGTCAATTTTCACCCCTCTTTCAATATTTCTTTCATTCCAACTTCCCCCAAAGCCCCGGTATCATACCAAACACCCGAAACACGTCCCGAAGTGCCCGAGAAGCCCGAGAAATTTATCTTTTCCGTTTTCAAGCCCGACCCTCGCAGAGCCCGGTTTCTCAATAAAACTCCTGGTTTTATTAGAAACAATCGTTTTAGGAAACGAAGTGCTGCCCGATTATCATTAAATCAGGTGAGTGTGTAGTCACTTTCATCTTAGACCTAGATATAAAGTATTTTCTATAAAATACGTGCTATGTGTAATTATATTAATTGTTTAATTGAGGTGACTGTTGAATATATGTTTTATACAAGCTTTAAACTGTATATGTATTTTATCTACAAATATGTTGGGTAGAACATGGGTAGACGAAATAGTCGATGTGTATTAAAATGGTGAGAGGCCTCGATGTTGTTGTTGTTGTTGTTGTAGTCGTCTAGCGGAGTATAGATGACGACCACGGACCTTTCTAGACAGTCCAGTGGAACACTAGCAGGTTCGCAACTTGTAGGTGTTGGTAAACTAAATGTTCATTGGCGTACTCCATCCCCCTCACGGTTGCCTTTAGGACATGTGTGGCTGACGAGTCCCCTTAGCAGTAGTGTCCATCCCGTTGATATTCCTTAGGCTAGGTCCCTTGTGATAGGTGTTTAGGGACGTAAAGTGAGGATAACGGGAATGGGTAATCAGGGTTATTGTTGATTGGTGAACTTAATAAGTTTATTATTATTGTGGGTTGAAAACCCTATATGCTCACCAGGCTCCCAAGCCTGACCCACTCAGCTTTTTATTATTACAGGTAGTGGACCCCGAGCATAGTCGGAGGATGATGAAAGATTTTTGGATTATAGGCCAGTAGTTGTAAATAACTGTTGTAAGGCTTATAATGTCTTGTTTATGCTTTTGATCTGTATCGGAACATGACATCCCGAGGTTTTGATATAAAAGGAAATTATATATTTCTTAAAGAAAGGTTTTGATAAACTTTTATCATGTTTTGTTTTGGGGACCAATTCTGCAACATCTTTTAAAAGGATTTCTCTGGTTTTATTTTAAAAGCATAAATTAAATCGGTCTTTTCTGGCCGAGAAATTAGGGGATGTCACATTTAAGAAATGTTTTGATAAATTTTTATCATGTTTTTTTTGGGGACAAATTCCGCAACATCTTTTAAAAAGATTACTCTGATTTTATTTTAAAAGCATAAATTAAATCGGTCTTTTCTGGCCGAGAAATTGGGGATGTCACAATTCAGCTATTCAGATTGCAACAAATCCTACCTTTCATGAAAGAACTAAGCACATAGAGGTAGATTGTCACTTTGTAAGAGAAAAGGTGGAAGACAAGACGATTAAACTACTACCAATTGGATCCGATTTACAACTTGCAGACATGTTTACGGAACCTCTACCCAATTCAAAGCTTATTCCTTTTATTGGCAAGATGGGTCTGAAGAACATTTATTCTTAAGCTCCATCTTGAGGGGGAATATTAAAGTTAGACATAAAGGGTTTATCTGTAATTGTCTAAAGTAGAGGGTTCAGATTGTAAATATTGTAGTAGTTTGTTGTTTTCTGTTATACGCTCCTTAGCTAAAGGAGATATAAGATGTAAGCTTCAGTTCAATTGATATGCCGAATTCATTCCATTTCTTTCTTGTTTGTAATAAGATGGAGATGGCCACGTAAATTTTAGTTGTGTTTTCCCGGTCATGTTTTACCTGGTAACTGGAATACCCGGTTACCACAGGGAAAGATGAGAACAAAAAGTCAAGTTTAATGGTATTTTTTGAACGGTTTCTTAAGCTTAATGGTATTTTTTTAACATGATAAACTTCCATGATATATTTTGTACAAATTTGAAACTTAATAACCGTTTTGAGTGAGTAAAACATGAGTTAACCCATTTACAATAGAAAAAGGTAAATAAATTAACTAAAAATTATACCACTTAAATTAGTTACAAGCTTAAATAAAATTTCAATTTCAAAGTACGACAAAAACACAATCCTAATTCAAATACAAATAAATTGTTCAAATAACAATAAAAATATTTAATTTCAAATTGATTTTGGACGGTGGTCAGTACTGTCGGCACAAAAAAAAAATGGAAATTAGAATTTTTTTTTTAAACATAAATAATAATACAACATTATAATTTATAAATTAATAATCCGATCACTACATAATAATATTTAAATAATTATTAAAATAAATATATAATAAAATTAAGTCGATCGACGAGTTGAAAATAACTTGATAATTTTTATTCAACCCAACCCATTGAACTTAAATGAATTTAAAATCTCAAGTCTCAACCCAACCCGTTAATTTTGGATAATTATGTTGGGTTGGTAGGTTGTGTGATCATTGTTTTTCTACTACATACACACAGACATGCATAGTGCAAATGGTGTTTTGTAGAATAATAATAATAATATATTTGCGCATATCCACAAAATTTGCATTTTTTAAATAGGGAAAAAATCTCTTAATCGCAACTTATTCCGGTTTATACACACGTACTACTTTACTCATAAATCCCTACTATAGTAGCTATTCAGGAATAAAATAACAATGTTTTTATATATATGAGCATATACACCTTTTTCTGATTTTTTATACAATTCTCTAAAAGGATAGGTGTAAGGTGTATAGTGCATGTGTGTTTCGGTTAAGCAAAAAAAACACTTTAAACACTCTCTCCATTATTTGATTTCTCTATTGATCTTGTCTCATGTTTATATTATTCTCCAATTTAAATATTTTAAATTCGCTAACAACCGTTTAACAAGTGTAAGTACATTACTAATATAGTTAAAAAAACAAAAAAAACTAAAGTACATTGCCAATATCAATAAACCAAAAATCGGTTATTTCATTCGCCTTTATACAAAGGTTTTCGCTTCTCAGAAAACGCATTCAACCCTTCTAACCTATCATCCGTCACCAATATCTCTTCATAGCATTCTTCTTCCAATTCCAAACCAGACCCCATCTCCATTTCTAAACCATGGTTAATCGCTCTTTTAGCCATCCGTATTGCCACAGGACCCTAATAACATTAACTCACATCTTACATCATAATATTATATTACAATAAAAATATTTCATATAATATTAATAAATGTACCTTTTGATTTATCTCACGTGCAATTTCAAGCGCCTTTGAATACGCATCGCCCGCAGGAACACAATAGTTAATCAGACCTACATGAAATTATTTTAGGGTTTGTACTTTTTTTTACCCATAATAGCAATGTACTTATATTTTTTTGGTTATATAAATATATAAGTATATTTTTAATATTGGTATATAAATATAAGTATATTGCTATTATGGGTAAAAATAAAATACCAAATGACAATGCTTCTTTGGGAGTGATCTTTCGGCCTGTGAAAATAAGTTCTTTGGCTATTGAGCTTCCAATTAACCTAGGAAGCCTTTGTGTCCCTCCAGCCCTGTAAAAAATATATAAATATATAACAACCATTTTTTTTTATAAAAAATATATATATATATATATTCTTATATTATGCTTTATGCATAAATTGCATACATACGCTGGTATTACAGCAAGACCGGTTTCTGGTAAGCCAAGTTTGGCATCTTCTCCTGATGACATTTCAAATTATTAAAAAATGAAACTTGTGTAAAAAAAATATATTATAAATAATTATTAATGTACTTTTTGATTTTGTATTACCACATATTCGGATATCACAAGATAAAGCCATTTCAAGTCCCCCACCCAATGCTGCACCTTCTATAACTGCAATAGTTGGGATTTGAAGTGCCTAAACATGGAACATTAATTTAAAAACTAAAATTTTAATTAAAGAAAGGATAATAAAGATAATGAGAGTATGAGACTCACCTCTAAGAATGAAAATGTTGACCTTAGTGAGTTGACAAAAGCTCGAACTTCAGGTATATCCATGGTTCTTCTTTCCTAAGTGAGAATCGAAAGTATTTATGATCAAGAAGTTGAAATTGTAACTTTAAAGAATTGCAGGTTTTAAAAGCTACCTTCAAATCAGCACCTGCACAGAAGACTTTAGAGACTGAGCTGCATATCATCAACACTTTTGCAGATGAGTCTACACTTACAGCTTCAAAGCTATTCTGTAGTCCTTTTAGAAAATCTTTCCCAAGGGCATTTTTAGCTTCGGGTCTATTCATGTTAATTTGGATAATTCCTGTCGAGGAAACAGTAACAAGTAATTTGATTTGTCTCCTAAGTTTCATCAAAGAGTTAGGATTTCCATGGTGGTAAAATCATATAGTTATTTGTAATTTAGGGAGGAGGAGACAACCATCTGTTTTAGATTAGGAAACAGATCGGAATTTCAACACTAACAAAAGCGAGATATCTGTGCCTAATTGCAAATGAGATCATTGAAGATACTCAGAACGCCGTTTCATTTTCAAATTTAATCAGGATCTCGAAGTATTTACCTAAAACTCTAACCCTAATAAAATAACACCTTCCTCTACACCTAATTTGGGGAAAAATCTTCTTACGGATGTTTTCCGATATTAAGGCAAGAAGTAGAGCAGATTACACCGAGAGAGAGAGAGAGAGAGAGAGAGAGAGAGAGAGAGAGAGAAAGTATTTCAGTTGAGGCAAGAACTATATGTTCAAAAGTAGCATATGATCGTAACAGTTACCTGAATCGGCATCGGAAAGTTTTTGAACTTTGACGGATTCCGAAGCGGACTGAAGGAGGAGTGTTCGGATACTCTGGAATTGCAATCGAGAGGGTAATAAGTAGGATTTTGTATCATTGAATGATCGGTTGCAAAATCGTTTGCCAATGCTGGAGAAAACCACCATTTTTGGTTTTGATTACATGCATATGAACGACAATCCAACAATCCAAGTCATTGATCAGAGGGATAAGTAGCAGCGAAAAGCTCATAGTAAAAAAAAAGTCAAAGGATGGTGATGGTGTTAAAAATGGTAAAAGAAGGTTACTGAATTTTGGTAGTTTTGATACAAGATGGTTTTACCTTTCTAAATTTTTAAAGGAGTATAGGGAAACTTTCAAAGTAAATATTTTTAATTATGTTTGGTAAACTTATTAAAACAACTTATTAGTTTATTAGCAATTCCATCCCGCTATAATTTAAAAAAGTGTTTTGATAAAATAGTTTATTCTGATGGGAAACTGATAATAAACCATTTTTTTTCATAAGTTACTCTTTCTAACTTATTAGCTTATAAGTTAATAAGCTAATAAACAATAAGTTTTTTTTGTCAAACATCCCCGAAGGACTTTGAAGAGTCGGGGTGATTAGTAAAGGATGTGATACTTCGTCTATCTTTTAATTCCTAAAAAATCCGATCCTCTAATTTTAAAAGATGATAGGTTGATTAATCTTATTGGGTTACACACAAAGTATGATTTAAGCATAAAAAAGACAAAAGAGAAAGATTATGGATTAATTTGTTAACTTATCATCTTACTATTAGATATTTAGAAGCTAGTAAAGTTCAAGGATTAAAATGTAATTATTTGAAATTTGAATTATGGATAATTATCCCATAAGATTAGGGATAAAAGTTTTCCAAAACCAAAGATAAAAGGCCTAGCCGAACCCTAAGCTAGAACCGACCATATTTCCCCTTTTATATATATATATATATATATATATATATATATATATATATATATATATGAAAAAGTTCAATAGAGAACCATAATTATTGGTTCTTCAAGGAATCAAATCCTTTTTTTTAATTTCTACAGCTTATTCTTTATCAAAAAAAAATCTAAAAATATATAAATTCATATATTAACATTGTGAATGTGAAAAATATTTTTCGGATTCACCGTGTGAATCCGGATTCACATTGTGAATTTTCAAAGATTCACATTGTAAATTTGACGTAAAAAAAATCGAATTTGATATCATTGGAAAAATGATAAAAAGTTATGAATTTTTGTATTTTTTGTTTTTTTTTGATAAAAAAAAAGTTCTAAAAGTTGAAAAAAAGATTGGTTTTTTGGTTTTTTGGTTCCTTGGTTAATTATGGTTCTCTATTGAACCTCACCCTATATATATATATATATATATATATATAATATATATATATATATATATATATATTCACCCTCCCTTCCAAGGCCAGGGAGGGGTGCTACTATGGAACCTCAATCATCCAGGACTTATGAAGAATCAAACAAGAAAAATATTTTTTTCATCATTCTTTAGAGTTTAGTTTGTTGCTTAAAATTAAATGAAGTTGTGATCATCTTGGATTATGGTTTTGTTTTGCTTCTGTTGTGATTCTTTTGGTATTAAAAATCACAATAATCCAACAATAATAGCATAGTACCCATAAAGAGCCCAATCCACATTGAAACTAAAACTCCCACATTGCAACTATTATATGTTTGTGCAAAGATACCACCTTAGAACCAACTGGCTTACGTCCTAAATGAAAAAATAAATTTTATTGTAAAATTGGTAGGTGATAGTTGTTTTCTTTCCTGTTCGGTATCATCAAGGATCATAATATCTTTTTCATGCCCAAGTAGGGGTGTAAGTGAGCCGAACTACTCGGGATCGACTCGTTAAAAGCTCGACTCGAGATCAAATTAAACGAGTCTGAGCCGAGCTCGAGCCTAAATATGAGGCTCGTTTATTAAACGAGCTCGAGCCGAGCTTCAATTAGTGGGTTCGCGAGCCTAAACGAGCTCATACGAGCCTATATACATACATACATAAATACATACATATATATATATATATATATATATATATATATATATATATATATATATATATATATATAGAGAGAGAGAGGCTCGTTTAGGCTCGATTAGGCTCGCGAGCCCACTAAATTGTTCACGAGCCGAGCTCGAGCTTCATTTTAAGGCTCGAATCGAGCTCGAGCTCGAGCTTCCTCAAAATTAAACGAGTCGAGCTCGAGCTTGGTCAGGCTCGGGCTCGGCTCGGCTCGTTTACACCTCTATGCCCAAGTACCACATATAGCCCTTTTTTATGTCTTTGGATGCAATCACTATAGACTCAATGTAAACCTTTTGAGGGTCAAGTATATTCTCAAATTTAATGGATAAGAACTCTTGCCCATTGTGTAGATATACATTTCAAATAATTTATTTGCTTCTTTCAAGAAGGTGTGAACAAAATGCCTCAAGTTTGTTACCTCTTGGTCAATCGATCCACGATGACCCATATCGTATCGGCTCCTCGCGCCGTCCGTGACAACTTCATGATGAAATCCATGGTAATCTCCTCCCATTTCCACACGAGGATGTTCAACGGCTACATCTTGCTATGAGGTCTCTGGTGATCGGCCTTGACCTTCCTGAAGGTCAAGCACCTCTCGACATACCAAGCTACATCCCGCTTCATGCAGGGCCACCAGTAATCAGGACGAAGATCTTTATACATCTTCTTCGCCCCAGGATGGATGGAAAATCTGGATTTGTGTGCCACCTCCATCAGGATTTGGCGCACGCCGCCTGAGTATGGGACTCACACTCTCCAATGAAGTGTCAATAAACCACGACTATCATAATCGAAGGAGGAAATCTGACACACGATGCGCTTACTCTTCCGATGCTCCTCCTTCATAGCCTCTAACTGGGCCTCTCGAATCCGCTCCAAAAGTAGAGTCACCACTATCATCCTCAGATATATATCCCTGATCAAGGCCGCGACTGCCTTGCGACTAAGAGCATCGGCCACTACATTGGCTTTCCCTGGGTGGTAAAGGATCTCGCAATCATAATCCTTCACCACGTCCAGCCACCGACGCTGCCTCATGTTCAGATTTGGCTGATCCATGAAATACCTCAGACTCTTGTGATCCGTGTAAATAGTACATCGGACCCCGTAGACCCGTAGAGGTAGTGTCGCCAAATCTTGAGGTCAAAAACTACTGCCCACAACTCTAAATCGTGCGTCGTGTAATTCGCCTCGTGAGGCTTCAACTGCCTCGAGGCATATGCGATGACGTGCCCCCTCTGCATCAAGACGGCGCCCAAACCCGAAATAGACGCGTAACAATAAACTACGAAATCCTCTACACCCTCTGGCAGAGTCAAAATCGGAGCTTCGCATAACTTATGCCTCAAAGTCTCAAACGTTGCCTGCTGCTCAGGCCCCCATCGGAAAACGGCAGTCTTCTTCGTCAATCGGTTCAGTGGTACTGCTATCTTGGAGAAATCCTGAATGAATCTCCGATAGTATCCAGCTAGCCCAAGTAAGCTTCGATTATCAGATGGAGACCTCGGAACCTCCTATCTCATCACGACCTCCACTTTTGCCGGATCGACAATAATATCGTTCTGGTTGACAAGGTGCCCCAGAAACTGCACCTCGCGCAACTAGAACTCGCATTTGGAGAACTTCGCGTAAAGCCTCTCCCTCCTCAGGGTATCCAACACCTCTCGCAAATGCTCCTCATGCTACTCGTGGGTCTCGGAATAGACCAGGATATCATCAATAAATACTATCACCGACCGATCCAACATCGGCATGCACACGCGGTTCATGAGGTCCATGAACGCGACTGGGGCATTGGTGAGCCCAAAAGGCATCACCACGAACTTGTAATGACCATAACGAGTCCGAAAGGCTATCTTCTGCACATCATCCTCCCTGACGCTCATCTGGTGGTATCCCGAGCGCAGATCAATCTTGAAAAACCAAGACACCCCCTGAAGTTGGTTAAATAAATCATCAATCATTGGGAGTGGATAACGGTTCTTCACCGTTAGCTTGTTCAACTCATGGTAGTCAATACACATCTGGTACGACCCATCCTTCTTCTTCACAAACAGGATCGATGCACCCCAAGGTGAGCTACTCGGTCGGATAAATCCCTTGTCTAACAGCTCCTGCAACTGTAACACCCGGTTTTGAAAGTGCTTCGTTGCTCGGGGCTGCGGCCCAATCATCAGTTGTCATAAGATTTCGGGCCTTGGTAAAGGAAGTATTTGGCTCATTTCGGACATGGGTGTTATGGTATAAGTGATCCAAGTGTTCGACTGTGACTTCGGAGGTCAAGGGTATAATCGTAATTTGATAATTCGGCCTTTTATGGATTTTGGATTTTGTTCGGGAAGTTTTGAGGTGAGGATAAGTTTATAGATGTGTAGAGCTTCTCTCCACCTTTCCGTAGATATAAAGAACGTCGAAAACGGAGTTGAAACGAAGAAGTTATGGCCGTTTGAAGTTGGAGTAGTTCGGGTGAGTGATCGTTGACTTGTTGACCAAGTTCATTTAAGGCTCACGACGTGAGCAAGGAGTGCTCACGACGTGAGGAGCGTATGGTGCACTAAAACCCTAATTTTCGGGTATTTAAAGGTATAAGATGATTAAGGTTGCTTCTCTTCAACCTCTTTCACTCCCAACACCTCTGGAAACCCTAATCCCAACCCCCATTGAAGTTCTTGATCATTCTTGGTGTTTTTCAAGAGTATTTGGGTCCTCTGAAGCTCATTAAGGAGAATAATATCATTGGTGGTGCATTTTTTGACATCTTGGTTGCTTCATCAGATAGTTGAGGAGCTTTTGGACCTTTGTAAGTCTTCAAGTTCATGCCTTTCCTTTCCTTGCTTGCTAGATCTAAGTTTCCATGCATTTAATGGCTTTTTATGTTGGTTAGCATGCATGGAATCCATAAAGTTGGCAACTTTATGGATCATGGTGGTATCTTAAGTTCTATATGTTCTAGATCTGGACTTTGGTCCTGGTTTTGGACTCCAAGTTTGAGTATTGGCCCTTTTTCCTTCATTTTGATCTTGGTTGGTGTTAAGTCATGTATTGGACATATGTGACTGGAAAGCTTCGATTTTTATGATCCTTGGGGTCAAGGAAGTCCCTCTAGACGGTCCCATGTTAAGGCTTA